TAAGTTTGATTTGTTAATCATGAAATTATCATGATATTGATGATGGGAATGTCATTTATGCCAAGCAAGTCAATTAGGACATTATTAGTAATATTTGGATGTTAAGGTCAAAAGTCAATTATGAGACAATTTAGGTACCATTTTGCAAATTAGCGAAACTTGGTCTAAACTAGATTTTAATAGTAAAATCAAATTCTTTAGGAAATTTCATGAATCTTAAGTGGTATAAAGGTATGTTAATTATGAGTAGAATAATTATGAAAAATAAGTTAAAGTTAGAGAAAATGAAAAACAATAGAGTTATTTCAAATAAAGCTTAAATGATGTGTTGTCTAATTTTCTCAGTTATCTTTCTTGTTTATCAAGTAATCTTAGTTTTCTTATCAGTCAAGTAACCTTGCTTATTGGTCAAGGTACTTTACTTGCTCAATAAGTTACCTCAATATCTTGTCCATTAAGTTTCAATTGCTTAGTCATTAAGTTTGGTTTACTTAGTCACTAAGTTATTAAGAAAGCTTCTTTAGGAAGTCACGTAGCTTACTTATTAAACAAGTCATCTAGTAGCTTGTCCTACAAGTTACCTAGATAGCTTCTTCATCACACTACTTTTCAAGACTTAGTCACTAAGTTTCATGAAACTTGGTCACCAAGTTTGCTTATTTTGCAAGATTAGTTACTTGTTCCTTAAGTTACGTAAGTAGCTTCTCCATGACACCACTTGAGTTGCTTAGCCGCTAAGTTAGTATGGCTTGTCTTCCAAGTAAGTTAACTTGTTTACCAAGTTAACTTGGACGTCAAGAAGGATGTCTCGCACGCCAAGTAAGGTGACTCGCTCACTAAGTTATTAAAGCTTGCTCACTAAGTTATTAAAGCTTGCTCGCTAAGTTATCTTCTACGTTAAGCTTTCTTTTTTTCTTCTTGATGACCATGGCCATATGCCTATAAATAGGCTAACATCCAAGATCATTTAACTTCTTCTTTCTTCATGGTTTAGGCCCACATTTCAAGAGAGAAAAGAATGATATTTTCATCTAGTTTTAACCACTTTTTTCAAAAATTCTATTTCACGAAACTTGTAGTGTAGGATCTTGTGATCATAGCATTGGTCTTCGAACATCTATAGGAGTTTATATGAGTGAGATATGTCCACCTTAAGCCACGAGTTCCTTGCTGCCTCCTTGAAAAAAAGATGATTTTGTTTATGTTCATTCGATTCTAAGTTGATTTCTGGGTCCCGTTAACCTATCTAAGGTATAAACTCTCAATTCTACGGTTAGAATTCTTAAATTAAGCTTCTGTCTATCAAATTTATGGGTCTCTTATGAAAATGATTTTTAAGAATTCATATGGTCTTGTATGATGGTTTTTATGAAGTTTTAGTGTTTGTATTGGTTTTTAATTGGTAAAAGTCTAAATTGAACGGTTTAGAAATGAAAAAGGATAGTATAAAATTATGTGTTATATTTCAGCTATATGATGTAATACTAAGTAAGTTAAGATTCTATTTACAAAAAAAAAAAAAAAAAAGTAAGTTAAGATTTTTATAAGTTGAATGAATATTATTTTAAGTTGATTTAAGTGATAAGTCATGGTAAAGTTAAGTTAAAAGATAGGAAATTTGTAAGTCTTTTTCTAAGTCTATGTTTCAAATATGTTAGTATTTTTCAGTAGAAAGTCTATGTTATGTTAATATGGGAAGTCTAGATATTTAATATGGAGACTTGTCTGGTGGCATAAATGAATAAGTAAGATTGTGTAAGTATGGAAGATTTTGAACTACGCATGGAAAGCGTAGAATTCTTCACGTTTAAGAAAGTTTTGGATTGATAGTTAATGATGCCCATGTTTATGTATTTTAGTTTGGAATCAAGAGAAGTGAGTTAAGCGAATCAGTTTCCAGTATTAAGTATAAGGAAAGCTGCTTACAAGTAAGCTTTTGGTTTAAGGATTTTTCTCTTTTCTTGTTGATACACCATGATCCAGTGGGATGATGGTTAGGATATCTGTATGTTTGTATGTTTTATATGTTAGATACTTAGTATAGTTACATTCATGTAGACTATATGATATGATATGAAATGATGCGATAAGTATGGTTCTTGATCAATGAACAAACTCCGTGGGGGGACTTCGGTTGTCGGAGATTATGTGTGGACTGGTCAAAGTTAGAAATTACGCTTTAGGAGTCTTATGATAAATTATGATATGTTTATATGATGTATGCTATGCTCTGTATCTGACCTTTCATGCAGTAAGTGAACTTTTGGGAGGAGACTGCTCCTTAGATCAAGAGTTTATTGAGTTTATTCTCACCCCGATTATGGGGACATATTTTAGGTACTTCGGCAGTAGCAGGAGAGCCCACTCAGGGCAAGAGGCCAATGCAGAGTGGCTAGAAGATAAAGTTGCAATAGTAGTTTTATGTATTGATATATGTTTTGGAGACATGATTAGATATGATGCATGTTATAGTCAACATCCATTTTGGTAGGCATATGTAGCTTGATAAGTCCATGAAATGAGACTTAAAACATATGGTTTTTATTGTGAAAATGTAAAGAAATATATACTCCTTGTGAAATAGATACCCCAAATGACATTGAGTTGAATGTTACTGATTTAAGTGCTAACGGGCTTTTATTTTATTTTTCAGGTCCACTTGTTGATATTGTCCAAGCAAAGAAAAAAAAAGACAAAGAATTAGGCTGAACCTTTACAATACAAGTCAGAAGAGCCCGAGGGAAGAAAGAAAAGCAAAGAAAGAAGGAAGAAAGAAAAGAAGAGAAAAAGGAGTGGGTCGATCTTTGGCAATGTAAGTCAGAAGCCCAAAAAGACACAGAGCCCAAGTCATTAACAGAAAGGAAAAAGGACAACCCAAAAACACCTAAGGCAACATTCAGTCCCATTCACTTTCCTAACCTCACGAACCCTATTCTTCCCTTCTCTCAAGCCATTACTCATACCCTAACCACCGCCGCATACCAAATCCTTAACCCTTCATCTCAAGCTAACCACTTAGCCATCCAATCGATCATCCAGTCCCATTTTCTGTTAGCCATTGAACCACACAAGCTTTTTCTTATAGTGATTCAGTTAACCAAAGTTCTAGAAGTGTGACGTGAGGGTTGTTACGAGTGTGGAGAGAGAACCCATTTGGTGGAGCAACTGATAAAGCGTGGAGCGAAGGGTATTCGTGTGACTCGCAGCAAGGGGCGCGTGACGTGGAGGCTGTGATGAAAGGGCCCACAGCCCATGCATGCGTGTGAGAGAGCTATAAAAAGAGGAGGAATCGTTGATGTGAGCTCTCTTGGTCTTCTAAAGTCTTCTCTATTCTCCTTTTATTTTCCTTTTATTTTGCTGGTACTTTAATAGAGTTTCTATTTTTTGGATTTAACATGTCAGTACAGCACTGAGGCTACTCCGGTGATTAGGACTAGTGATGTACCTTTACGATTTCTGAACTTTATTTCTCTGTAATTTTCGTTTCAGTTACTGTTTTTGTAGCTTTGCCCTTATGGGTATGAGCTATACCTTTTAAGGTTGAGTCTAGGTACCTAAACCTCAGTGATGGTTAATTGTTAATTACTTTTGTTAACTTTTGATTCTCAGTTGTTTAATGCTATACTTTGTATTTAAACATTCTTTCATTGAGGCCTGATGGTAGATATTGTGTCAGGAAGAAGTCATCGAGAGATGATTGATTCTGGAAATGCATTAAGCACATGGACTTGAATGTGAGAGCATTCAAAGGTTGTCACTTAGAGATAAGGACAACCACCATGTAATTGTGGATTTGGAATGCATGAGTCCTTACTTCATTTAGCACAGAGATGTGTAAATGATTGTTTAGGATAAAATGGTTTTGAGAGATTAAAATCAACAAGAAGTGTTCCGTTAACTGGGAACTAATCTTAATAATCTGTAATTGACAATTACTCCATTGCTGTGGGAAAGGTAAGCGAAACTTAACCCATTTCCCTAACTATTTTCACAAACAACATTTTTCTGTTTCTCTGACTTTTAAATTTTTCAATCATCATTCTAATTTTACAAGTTGTTTTTGTTATCTAAAAGTTTTTTTTACATCATATACCTAAATTGTTTTCCCCACTATTTTATCACTTTACCCAAGAAATCAACTCTGAAAATTCTAAAAAATAGAGTCACTAGTCAGTAATATTTCAACTTAGGTTTGTGATTACTTTGTTTTTATTTTTACTCTCTTTTTAGATTATATTTCGTTTTAGCAATTGCAATTTTAGTCAAGTCAAAAACGCCAAAGATCCTTGTGGGAACGATATTAGGGTCTCAAATACGCCCTCTATTACTTGTTGTCGCCTATACTTGCGTGCTTACTTGCATAACTTTTAGCAAGGCAACAAGTTTTTGGCGCCATTGCCGGGGATCGATTCGTACATTGTTAGAATTCTTTGTGTGATTGTTGTTTCTGAGTTAATTCATTTTTCTTCTATTTTTATTTTAGCTTATTTTAATTCTGTTTCTTTATTGTGTTAGTTGATATTGTTGTAATTCCTTGAATAGTGGTAGTTTGATTTTTGTTCTGTTAATATTCTGATTTCCTGCCATGTTTTATATAGTTGTTTTGTCATTTAATATTTTAGTTTATTGTTTCATTGCTGTTAATTTGTTTCTTAATTTTTTCGCGTCAATCTTTTATTTTTATTACTAGTTTCATTCCTTTAGTTTAGATTTTTTTTTACTGTTCTATAATTCTGTCTGTTTTTGGATACTGTTACTGCTTCCATTTTTGAATTTTCTGCTCTGTTTGTTTCTTTCAAATTTTTTTATAAAGAGCCGAATAGGAATCTTGGTTGTTAAGCTAGTCAGGTTTAAATATATTTTTTTAGCTCAAAGGGTGCATGAGTGCAACTCCACACCCTTTCTTAGAAGCTTTTGACCCTGGACCTGAAAGGACCTTTAGACTTCAGAGAAGAGGCTAGAGAGCTAATAGGCAGATTCCAAATCCTGATTTTGGAGAAATGGAGAATGTAGAAAATGGAAATGGGAATGGGGGAGGACCTGAGAGGATACTGAACCAGCCAATAGATGACAATGATAGATCCATGATGGATTTTATCATACCTGTTTTGGATGAGTTGGACCCAAGTATTGCCCAGCCTGTTAATGGATTACCCTTTAAGTTAGAACCTGTGATGTTCACAATGCTCCAAAATATGTGGCAGTGCCATGGTCTACTGATGGAAGACCCACATAAGCACCTTAGGAATTTCATAGAAGTGGCTAATACTTTTAGGAATCCCAATATCTCAGATGATGCTCTGAGATTAAAGCTTTTCCTCCACTCATTGGCTGACAAAGCCAAAGAGTGGTTGAACTCCCTTCCATCCAACTCCATAACCAATTGGCATACATTGGCTGAAAAATTCATAATGAAGTTCTTACCATCCAATAAGATAGTGCAAACCAGATGTGACATCACCAACTTCATGCAGAAGGATGGCGAGACCTTAGTGGATGTGTGGGAGAGGTTTAAGATTCTCCTAAAATAATGTCCCAACCATGGCTTGCCCTCATGGGCAGTGTTACAGACCTTGTACAACAACCTTAACACTACAAACAGAGCCTTAGCAAATTCTGCTGCTAATGGCATGTTTATGTCCAGGTCCTTTAATCAAGCCTATGAGTTGTTGGAACAAATGACTCAGAATTATGCCCAATGGCCTGATGAGAGAAATCAACCAAGGAGAGTGGCTGGTCTACATGAGGTAGATTCTGTAACAGCCTTGTCAGCTAAGTTTGATGCACTATCCACCCTAGTAGAAACCCAAGGACAACCCACTGAGGCAAGATTGTCTCAGCCTCAAGTTCCAATACCCCAACCTCAAGTCAATGCTGCGAACACAAGTGAAACTTGTGTTTTCTTTGGTGGGCCCCATTTGTTTGGTAGCTGTCCATCCAACCCAGAGTCTGTCTACTATGTGGGAAACCGAAATAGGAACCATAATAATTTTTCCAATAATTTTAATCAAGGTTGGAGGCAGAATCAACAGCCCCACTATTTTCAAGGGCAAAGGCAGCAAGCTGGACCCTCCAATGCCCAAACCAAACCAACTTTTCCCCCTCAAAACTACCAACAACCTCCAAGGCAGAAATCTGCTGCTCAATCTTCAGTTCCATATTATCAAAACCAATCTGGTGAGATGTCCTCTTCTTCAACCTCTTCCTTAGAGGCTTTGTTGAGGGAATATTTGGTTAAGAGTGAAAGTAAGCAAAATAGCTTGGAGGCTATAGTGCGGAGCATTCCTGCATCATTGAGGAATTTAGAATCCCAACTAGGCCATTTAGCCAATGCTTTGAATAGCAGACCCCCTGGTACTTTGCCTAGTAACACTGAAGAGCCTGGGAGAAATAATGAGCAGTGTCATATGATAGAGCTCAGGAATGGAAGATCTGTGAATCAGCCAGAAGCTGTGGTTAGACCTTCCACATTAAAAAAAAAAAGAAAAGAGGAAAAATTGCAGACAAAAAAAGGTTCAATTCTAGAGAAAAATTTTGAACCTGTTCATCCTTCCATAATCCCTGTCAGCCACCAAGAGGCTGAGTTTAATGTGCCTTTGCCTGTTCTGGTTGAACCAGAAATCCAGATCCAAGTAGACCATCCTGTAGGGACTATTTCCAAGGAAAATTTACCTCTAAAAGGTCAAGCAACTAAGCCAAATGTTGAGGCACTTGTTGTCAACAACAGACCTCCACCACCTTTTCCCCAAAGGTTGCAAAAACTGAAGCAAGAGCACCAATTTAGGAAGTTCCTTGACCTCCTAAAACAACTTTTCATCAATATTCCATTTGTAGATGCCTTAGAGCAGATGCCTACTTATGTGAAGTTCATGAAAGAAATTCTTTCTAGGAAAAGGAGGTTAGAAGAGTTTGAAACTGTTGCTCTTAGACAAGAAATCAGTCAATATTTGCTTAGCAAGATACCTCCCAAATTAGGAGAACCAGGCAATTTCACAATCCCTTGCACCATAGGAGACCAATATGTAGGCAAAGCATTGTGTGACTTGGGTGCTAGCATAAATTTGATGCCCATGAGTGTTTTCAAGAAGTTAAAGGTAGGAGAGCCTAGTCCCACAATTGTTACCTTGCAATTAGCAGATAGGTCCCTAGTATATCCTGAAGGGAAGATAGAAAAAAATTTAGTCAAGGTGGATAAATTTATCCTACCAGCTGATTTCATCATTTTGTACTATGAGGGAGATATGGAAGTGCCTATAATTTTAGGGAGAGCTTTCTTAGCCACTGGTGGGGCTGTGATAGATGTTAAAGAGGGAGAGTTGTCCATGAATGTGAATGGGGAACAAGTAAAATTTAACATTTTAAAATCCCTGAAATACCCCAGAGATTTAGAGGAGTGTTCAATGCCAGATGTGATTGATCATGCTGTCTAACAAAGGAGGATAGAAGCAGAATTAGTGGATCCACTATAAATCAAGGTTTGTGAGAGTTTGGAAGTCAATAGGACTGATGTAGAAGAATGGTCCAAATGGCTGAACACCAGGTCCATTCCCAATTGGAAAAATAAGAACTTTGAGTCCTTAGAGCTTACCAAAAGGGGGTTTAAAATTCCCAAACCCTCAATTGAAGAGCCTATAATTTTAGAGCTTAAGCCCCTACCTAATCATCTTAGGTACGCTTACCTAGGAGAAAAAGACACCTTTCTAGTCATTGTGTCTAATTTTCTCACTGTTTTGGAGGAGGAACAGCTGTTGGCTGTGTTAAAAAAATTCAAAAAAGTTATAGGTTGGACCTTAGCAGACATTAGAGGTATAAGCCCATCCTTTTGCATGCATAAAATCCTTCTTACAGACCCAAACAACAGCTCTAGGGAGCAGCAGAGGAGACTTAATCCAATAATGAAGGAGGTAGTGAAAAAGGAGATTATTAAGTGGCTGGATGCTAGGGTAATATACCTTGTTTCTGACAGCAATTGGGTCAGCCTAGTGCAGTGTGTCCCTAAAAAGGGTGGGATCACTATTGTGGAAAATGATAAGAATGAATTAATACCTACCAGGACTGTCACTGGTTGGAGGATCTGTACGGATTACAAAAAACTCAACAAAGCCACTAGGAAAGACCATTTTTCCTTACCTTTTATTGACCAGATGTTGGACAGATTGGCTAGTAGGCAGTTTTACTATTTTCTAGATGGCTATTCAGGCTATAATCAAATAGCCTTAGCCCCTGAAGACCGGCCAAAGACCATTTTCACTTGTCCCTATGGCATTTTTACCTTTAGGAGAATGCCATTTGGGCTGTGCAATGCACCAGCCACCTTTCAAAGGTGCATGATGGCCATTTTCACTGATATGATAGAGCAATTTGTGAAAGTCTTCATGGATGACTTCAGTGTTTTTGGAGACTCTTATAAAGAGTGCTTAGACAATCTAGGAAGAGTGCTAGAGAGATGTGAGGAGACAAATTTGGTCCTCAATTGGGAAAAATGTCAATTTATGGTGAGGGAAGGCATAATGCTAGGACATAGGATCTCCAAGGCTGGTTTAGAGGTTGATAAAGCAAAAATTGATCAGATTGAAAAACTGCCACCCCTGTTAACATAAAGGGAATTAGATCATTCCTTGGGCATGCTGGTTTTTATAGGAGGTTCATAAAAGATTTTTCCAAAATTTCTAAGCCTCTTTGTCATCTGCTTGAAGCCAATACCCCTTTCCATTTTGATGAGGCTTGTCTCAAAGCCTTAGAGGAGCTAAAACAGAAATTGATTTCTGCTCCCATAATAATAGCCCCTGACTGGTCACTGCCATTTGAGTTAATGTATGATGCAAGTGATTGGACAGTGGGGGCTTTGTTAGGACAAAGAAAAAATAGAGTTTTCCACTCTATTTAGTATGCTAGCAGAACCTTGAATGGAGCACAGCTCAACTACACAGTGACTGAAAAGGAACTGTTGGCTGTGGTGTTTGCCTTTGACAAATTCAGGTCATATTTGGTAGGAACTAAGGTCATTGTGTATACTTACCATTCAGCTATCAAGTATTTGGTAGAAAAGAAAGATTCAAAGACTAGGCTGATTAGATGGGTTCTTCTCCTACAAGAGTTTGACATGGAGATTAAAGATAGGAAAGGATCAGAAAACCAAGTGGCTGATCACTTGTCTAGGCTAAATGAAGGGCAGCAAGGTGACAATAAAGTTGAGCTAGTCATAAAGGAAACCTTCCCTGATGAAAAATTATTTCAGGTTTCCACTAACACCACCCCATAGTTTGCTGACATAGCTAACTATTTAGTTAGTGGGGTGCTCCTTAAGGAGTTGAGTTACCAGCAAAGGAAAAAGTTGGTACATGATAGTAGGTTTTACCTATGGGATGAGCCATATATGTTTAAGATATGTACAAATCAGATCCTAAGGAGATGTGTGTTAGAGGAAGAAAAAGAGGAGATTTTGAAGCAGAGTCATAACTCACCATATGGTGGTCATTTTGGTGGCATGAGGACAGCAGTAAAGGTGCTGCAATCTGGCCTCTTTTGGCCCACCTTGTTTAAAGATGCCAATTCTATGTCCTTAAGTGTGATAGGTGTCAAAGAAATGGTAATGTCTCCAAGAGGCAAGAGATGCCTTTGAAACCAATTTTGGAAATAGAACTCTTTGATGTATGGGGTATAGATTTTATGGACCTTTTCCACCCTCTTTTGGCAACCAATACATTTTGGTTGCCGTGGATTATGTGTCTAAATGGGTGGAGGCTGCTGCCTTACCCTCAAATGATTCAAAAGTGGTGATTAAATTCTTGAAAAAGAATATTTTCACAAGATTTGGGACTCCTAGAGCCATAATTAGTGATAGGGGAAAACATTTTGTGAATAGGCAGTTTGAAGCCCTCTTAGCTAAGTATGGAGTCAAGCATAAGGTTGCTACTGCCTACCATCCACAAACCAGTGGGCAGGTGGAGGTCACCAATAGAGAAGTTAAGAGAATTTTAGAAAAAGTGGTGAATCCTTCAAGGAAGGATTGGTCACTGAAATTGGATGACTCTCTTTAGGCCTACAGAACAGTATATAGGACCCCCCTAGGATGCTCCCCATACAAGTTAGTCTTTGCAAAGAATTGTCATCTGCCTTTAGAATTAGAGTATAAAGCCTACTGGGCTACTAAACAGTTGAATGTGGATGCTACTGTTTCAGGTGAAAATAGGCTTCTCCAACTTAATGAGTTGGATGAATTTAGACTACATGCCTATGAGAATGCCAAGCTGTATAACGACAAAATGAAAAGGTGGCATGACAGGAAGATTTTAGAGAGGAAGTTTGAAGTGGGCCAGCAAGTGTTACTTTTCAATTCTAGATTAAAACTCTTTCCTGAAAAACTGAAATCTAGGTGGTCTGGCCCATTTAAAGTTACAAAAGTCTATTTGAATGGAGCAGTAGATATTGTAAATGAACAAGATGGCAGAACATTCACTGTCAATGGTCAAAGGTTAAAGCATTATTTGGGGGAGGCAATTGAGAAAGCTCAGATTTTCATCTCCCTCATTGACCCTCCCACCCATTAGCCAAAGTCAGCAGTGAAAAGTCTAGCTTTAGACTTTAAAAATTAAGCATGGTTACTGTGTATTTTGTGATTAAATTTCTGTTGCTGACTATCTTTTTGATATTTGATTTTTTTTGATTTTTTTTAGTAATTACTTTTGTTTAAAAAAGAGAGCATATGATACTAACACTTTTGTCTCTCTTGTTATAGGTGTTGAGTGCAACCTTATCTGAATTCCAGCACAAGATCAGGTTTAAGTATGGGGGAGCAATCAAAAGTGTCAACCTGGTGCTATTTTCCCTTTTAATTGTTGTTTTTAGTTTTTAGTCTTTTTTTATCTGCTGTTTTTATTCTCTATTCTTTATTTTTAGTTTATTTTTATTGTGTGTTGTTAGTGTCATTCATCCTCATGGTTAGAAAAAGGTATTCTGCGTAGTGGAGGACCACACGGTCCAAAACTTACTCCTAAAACCATCAATCCTGAGAGTAATTCAGTATCCTCCTTTACCTATGAGAAATCATTAGAGAGGTACGAGAAGATCATGATAGCAAGAGACCCTACCCCTGTCAAAGGATTTGAGGAACATACCTCATATCTTGCATATGTTTATGAGGTGATGAAAGCCCAACATTGGGAAAAGTTCTACCTTCATCCTAAAGAGGATGAAAACATCAATGTGGTGAGGGAGTTTTACTCAGAAGTGTTAGATAGAATCGAACTGAAGTGTTATGTAGGGGTGTCCACATCTCTTTTGGTCCCAAAGCCATTAAGGAATACTTTTCCTTGCCCAAAAACTCTAAGGACAAGTTTGAAAATTTTCAAAAAAAGAATGATCATGAGTTTATGATGGAAGTGATAAGTGTGATAGGTGTTCCTAGTGCTCAATGGGAAATACATGATAAGAATTACACCTTGTAGAAAAAAAATTTGAATGAAAATGCACAGGTCTGGTATCATTTTCTTAGAGCTAGGCTGCTGCCCACCAAACATGTGCACCTCGTAATTAGAGAGAAAGTTGTTTTATTATGGTGTTTGTTGGTTGGCAAATCTGTTGATGCTGCCAAGTTGGTGTCTAAGGGGATATGTGCTTGTGCTAGTTGGAACAAAGGAAAGCTTAGGTTCCCTAGCTTTATCTCTGAGTTGTGTAAAGACATGATTTGTTGTTTCAAAAGACATATGATCAGTTTTACTCCTTCATGTATGATTAGGTCAGATTAAATGATTACATTGTAGAGAGGGATAGGATTTTGAATGATTTTTTTTTAAAAAAAACTTTTGTCAATTTTCCTGGTTTACCTCCATTTCCTCAAAACTTAACTTGGCCTCCTATTTCAATTTTTACTGACCCACAAGTTGAGCAATTTCAGGCCAAAGTAGCAGGTCCTCCTCTTCCTCATCCTACCAAGAAGGAGGATACACCATCCAGTTCAAGAAAGAGAGGAAAGCCGATCTCAAAATCTGTGATGGAAGAAGACAGTGAGCAGGAGGATGAGGCTGAGGATGAAGTGAAGTGTTCAGAGTCTGAGTCTGAAGACATTGATAAATCTGAGTCTGGCGGCTCAGATTATGAGGAAGAATAGGCCAGAAGCTCTTTTGGCCCCAGGTTACCGTGTTCTTAATTTCTGTCCATATTTTTTGGTAATCTGGTCAAGCCACAGTGAGGACATTGTTCTTTTTAAGTTTGGGGGAATGAATGCATGAATTCTGTTTGTTTTTCTTTTGCTATTTTGATGCATTGTGAATAGTTTTTCTTTTCTTTTCTTTTGTTGTTTTGTTAAGTCTTGTTGTTTGTTGTTTTGTGTACTTGAAGTTTGAGTCTGAGGGTTGTATTGTGTTTAGTAGTGAGTGGTCTGTGTCACAATTAGGTAGCAGGAAATTTTGAAGAAAGAAAGGAACTCAAA